AATATGCAATTTATTCTCAGAGGAGTACTTTTCTTTTCTTAAAAAATGAAATTAATACGAGGATTTCAGTTGTAAGTATAACAATAATAAATCTGTTTTTGTCTAAAGTTGTCTTCAGTTTTATAAAAAAAAATATATGTAAAACACAGCCAGAAAGAAGAAATTATTTGCTTTCAGTGGGAAAAAAAGTAACTTTCTTCCCTTATTACACATTTTACCTGTGAAGAAATTACGTTGCAGCCCAAACTGATTAATAATTCTTTTTCTTAAAAAGTCAAATTGATAACTCAACGAACGCTGAATTTTGTCATTAATAACAGTTTTGAGAAGTTTTCCCTTGAAAGGAGCAGCAGAATAAGTCAAGACCGAGTTTCTCCGCAAAGCTATCATAAAATTGAAAGCAATTACCTCTATCTCAAACCCGATCTAAATTTATGATCAATGAAAGGGTTTCAAGAAGCACAGCGTCTGCAAACTATATGTGAATCAACCATCTTGCAAACGCAGATTTTTGATTAGAAAGGGGAGCATTAAAACTTTACCGGAGTGTTGCTTCAAGTCACACGACGTGAAATTGTTTGTTTTGTTTAAAAAATACCCTCGACTCATTCATAATAGAGAGATTTCAGAGCTTTGTGTAAAATATACACCAGTTGGCCCGGAGCCGTTTTTCCACTACAATCTAAAGACTTTTCTCCTCTCTATTGTTTAATCAATGGTTCGTGGTACAGCTGCATTCAGTTAAAAGGGTCCGATAAAGTTAGTTTAGTGTCAACAGAGACGAAGTTGAATATACAAGAAAATACACAAATTTCCATTTCCAGGGCATGACAAATAAATTTTGATGTGATATTCCACAGATGGAGTATTTGATTAAAAAAATATTAGAAAATATTCCCAATAAATGTTAGTACATACCAGGTGAATAAAAAGTATGTAACCAAACGTTTTTTGCTTAAACTATTTATTTTCTGGAAAAACTAATTGATTGAAAAATGTGAGCCACTAGAAAATCATTTTTTCTTAGAGATTGTGATTTAAGGATTACAACTATCTACTTTATATACAGGGTGCGCCAAAACTCGCGCCTCAGAGAAAAATGTCATATAAGTGAAGATACCAGGAACATGGAAAAAATGTTAAAAAAAAATTTATCTATAAAAATTTCGAAGTTATGATGGTTTAAATTTTGCACTTGGGACTCTATTTATTTCTGTTGGAAAAATAATTTTCCAAGTTTTTTTGCTATAGGCTATTAAAAGAGGAAACAAGGAAGCTGTGTCCTAAATTGTAACTCTGTTCAATGTTATTTGTGGTTTTTATTGGCAAAATTTTTGTCCCTTTACTGAATAATAACAAAAAAATGTCAAATGTCAAAAAATAAATGTAAAAATTTTTTGACAGATAAAATTTTTTAAACATTTTTTTCATGTTCCTGGTATCTTATCTTACTTGAATTTTTTCTCTGTTGCGCGAGTTCTGGCGCACCCTGCATTATATTTTTAATTTTTTTTACCTAAATTGCAATTTCAAAAAAAATCGTATAACTTAAAAGCAAAACAAAATTTCGTTCTCAAAATACGATCACATTTTTTATGTTACTTTAATTTATATTAATTATTATTTTCTGAAAATAAATCATTAAAAAAATAAAAAAAACCGCTTGGTTCCATACTTTATATTCACTCTGTACAATTATTACACTAATATATTAAATTGTGTTTAAAATAGATCTGAAATAAACATAAAATGATTTAAAGACGATTTGTTTTGTGATACATGCTTTAAGTAATTTTTTTTTTCTGTTGACGAAAATTTTTAGTTTGTTTTATTTGTTTTAGCTAGAATGCATATATTACATTTTTTGATTCGACCTTATAAATGAACATGTCATAATATGTTTGTTAGATAATGAAGCACAATTATGTTAATAGGAATCAAAAATTTTGTATAATTCTTTCGTAATTCAAAGATCTAATTTCACACTGCCAGGTTTTTTTCTATTTTACAAAATCAAAATCACACTTACTACAATATGTACAAATTCTACAAAATGGTGACAATTTTTCAACTCAAAATTGCCGCAGACAAATAAATTTAGGCTACAAATGTCAAGCTTCAAACAGAGTAAACAACCCTCAGAGTAATTCTAAAAATAAAGTCTTACCTAGGGGATTTCAATAAAATGTCGCTCTGAAAAATACGAAGCACACATTTGAAGTTGCTCTCTTTTATCAGATAATGAACACTTTTCAATTTCTGATAAACCTTGTTTAAACCCTGCAAAAACCAATTGTGCAAACATAAGAAATGGAATAATCTCTGTTAGCTTCGTGTTTATACAAAGCTTCTTTGCCCCTTCTGCATACATTAACGCAAGTTATCATAAATAAATTCTTCCTTTTTATCATTGATATGACTGTTGGATAGAAGACGGTTAAATCCCATTTTTGCCTTGATGTTTTATGTATTCGCTTTGAACACAATCACATTATAATTCAAAATATCATCCATCAAATACGTTGAATAAATAATAATTCCTTCACGTAGATGGGTAAATTTCCATCAATGAAACGAATTTAAGGAAGTGATAACAAATAAATTATACTATGCATAACTGTAGTCCAAGCTGGTTCATTTATTATTGCAAGAAATAAAACTACTTATCCCTGTCAGTGCACTGATATTAAAATAAACAACGCGTTTCTTGTTCAAGCAACAGCTGACAAAACGTCCACTGATTCTCTATAAAATAAAACAACGAAGCCGGAATTTTCGATGAGGCTTTATTTGACGTYTTATATCGCCATASTCATAGTTAAACGTATGTGAAAGGGTGGAATCAACAATGATAGCATCTAAATGTGGCTCTATTGTACGGTTTGCTATCATAAGACTGTCTCCGCTGCGGCCTTAAAGAAAAAAGATAGTGGATATAACACTAGAAATAAGTGATATTTTCCGGAGTTTCGTCGAGCCGTGAACAAGAATGATTGAGATGTTTGGTTAATTGAGGATTAAATCACTGAAATTCACTTTTCAAATTGACGAAGAGGAATAAAACTAATAAGGAAAAAGCGAGTCTTAAAATAAGCTGGTTACGGCTTTCCACGCGGTCATTGCTTCTTTTATTAGTGGATCTGTTGCCTATTATTGTCATTAGGGGGTTATTGATCCGGACAAAATTTGTAAAACCTAGTAAAGAGAAAATGCTTGATCTTTTTGAAGAAAACAATTTGCTGAAAATGTTGATTTTTATGACCATTTTCCTAAATCTTTTTTATCCTTAAAAAGTAATATTTGAAATATTTAAAATACATTATGTCCCCCGTTTACAAGAGGAAATTTTTCTTTTACGCCAAAAAACATTTTTTGCTTCACCTGAAACGAGCAAATCTGTACTTAAAACTTCATTATTCTAATAATCAGTGAAAAGTAAAGTTAATAATTATTCTCTTGATTTTGGACTTATTTTTTCTCTGCTTTTTAGGTTATATCACATTGGCGGTTTCATTTATTTGACAACTATATGTCACTTTGACAATTAATTTATTAATTAAATAATGATAGTTTTTGTTAAAAATGACTTTGTTTTTTATCTTAAACCTGTTTCTTTGAGTTGCTATTTATCAAAATTATGTTTTTCACAAACATTCCATCCAAAATGAGAAATTAAAAAAAAATATGTTAAAAAAAATATGCCAATCAAATCTTTCAAATTGAGATTCATACAATCAGATTCGCGGTAATTTAGCACCGGGCAAATTATCGATAATTTGCACATGTGCTGAATTATCGCATAATTTGAATCCGATTGGATGAATCTCAGAAATTTGAATGATTTGATTGGCTTAAATGTGAGGAAAATAGTTCATCAAAAACTAGCGCGTTCCCGAATGCCAATTTTTTTGTTTATTTTGACGGATAAACATTTTAAGTTTAAATTTTACACAATTAGTAATGGTCTTAGCATTTTTTTTGTTTTTCACTGCTATTTCATTTTTTTTTTTTAGTAAAAGTAAAATAAGGATTCTAAGTATGTATTTTTATTTTTACAAATTCGTTGTATTGCTAGTAGTTTGCGAGTACTTTTGATTTCAATTTATAATTAATTGATTATAGATAACATACTTAACTTTCAGTATAGAATGTTCTCTATAAAAAGACACAAAAATCTACAACAAAAATTTTTGAAAATGAGCATTTTTTGGAATTGCAACAAACAAATAAACATTAGAACATACCTTTAGTGAACACTATTAATTGTAGATAAATTTTCTTTCTTGATCTTGATATTCCCTTTATAGACATGCTTCAACAACGTTAAAATTTATTCTTATGTAATTTTTTTATACTTATTTACCTACTTAATAAAAGCAAATATTTCTCAAATGAGCAAGTTTAATATACAAAAATTTAGTGAAAACTATCAATAATATAGCCAAAACAGTAGTACGGAACAATACTTAGGGTCTCAATTTGATATTTTTTTAATAATGCTAAGATTAAGTGTTAATCATCTATAATTATCTTAAAATACAAGATGAGAATGTTAAAAGTATGAATGTTATTGTGATCTCATTTTACCACTGTTATGTATTATGTATTTATAATTTATTTTGATTATTAACCAATTGTTGTAATTAATCCACTTACCTATAAAATGAAAACAATAATTACTTATTTAAATTTTAACACAATAGTAATTATTGATATAAATTTAATATTTGAAAGAGAGAAATACTAAATATGTAGTTGATGAGCAACACAAAGCTTTAATATTTAACTTCCCACTTTCAAACTTTTTTGATAAATTATTCTAAATGGAATAAGAAACTAGAATAACAAGTTCGTGCTACACAGATTCAAAGGTGTAAACTAAATAAATAAAACAATAGGACGCAATTCCTGATCCTTGATTCTTAAAATATTTTAAACGAAGGGATTTGTTCCTCCAACAATAAAAATAAAAAATAAAACTGCACAAACAGTATTGATTAAATAATTTATCCCTATAGCAACCTTGAGATGACAACCACATATTGATAAAACTTTTCACTATGACGGAACACTGTAAAATATTTAAGCCCGAGCCAGTGCTCACCTATGAGTCAATATGTGCAGCGATGTCGTCCTCATCCATCGCAACACTTCCATGTGTCAGCGACGTGTTTCCAGATCGGTCATCCCTTAAAGTCAATTGTGACAAAAACTCGAAAAAAGTCCATTTCGATCGGACAAGAGAGCCAAAAGTGCGACGAATCAATAGAAAGAAGGAGCCATTAAAACTGCCTCGGATTAAAAAACGATATTTCACGGCAGGAACTGGGATAAATGATCAGAACCAAAGGGATTTGCTCAATGAACCGTCCCCGTTTGTCTATCCGAAAGATCATGAGGAATTGGCTCACAAAGTCATGACGAAGGAATGGAGGTCGGACTTGAGAAGGAAAGAAATGTCTTACAAGTACAACGAACGGCACAATTACAAGTCGAGACAACAAGCCGATATGTTGAACAGGTTGTACGTTAAAGAACCTGAAATTAGGAGTGCTAAAATGGTGCAGGACGTAGATCCTGAGTTTTTCACGATTGTGCAAGGGAGACCAATTCCTGAGAAACTGAAACTGAGCCGATACATACAAACGGTGCGAGATGTGTTGAAAACTAAAATTCTTACAGGGTATCGCGGTGACGATATTATGCTCATTGATGAGAGTCTGATTTTGGAGCAGAAAGAAATCGATAGAATCAAAGCGAATTATCAGACTTATGTGAACACTTTTGAGGAGTTTCTCTATAATGACCACACCGCATCCATGAATTTGTTGAAAGAGTCCGATCGAGAGGCRATGTTGGCTCAGGAAAAGTACGAGGAGTATCGACAGCTGTCTCGGGAGTATGGGGCGTTGAAGTCAGTTTTGTACAGCACAGAAGAGAAATGGCGGAATTGTAAGTTGTATCAGAGGTTTCTGTATTTGGTGAGTCCCATGTCGTGGAGGAAGGAACACGATTATTATTACWTGCAAGAAGGAGATCTTGCCGCATTTCAAGAAGTGTCGTCAATTTTTGGTAAATACCGCCTGAATGTGACTGATGAAACTGCCTCCTTGGAAGATTTAATAAGCCAATTCCGGGAAGACTGCGCGAGTCAGAAAGAACCMGCTTTGTATTTTACTGACCCCAATCAACTCCTCGACGTTTTCAGATTTATGGAACTCCAAAACTTGAACTCTCTTCTKCATTCCGAGGAGTTGGCCGTCCCTTTGGAAAACGTGCAAGAAGGAATGGCTCGCGCCGAGGAATTGTTCAACGCTGAAATAAACTCGCTTCAGGAACTTATCGAGAAATTAGCGAGCGGTATTTCGTAAGTCGTAATTCATGCGTTGATAAGTGAAGAATTTATTGGCAATTACAGGTGGGAGGAGGAACGTGCCAGGTACTTGGAGGAATTAGCGGTGGAACTAATCAATGGAGAATTCAAGAAATTGGTAATCGCTGAGGAAGTTCTCAATCTGCACGTGTTCGTCGAAGACGTTTATGAAACTCGGATCGGTCCCAATGACGCCAATTTGACTATGAGCGAAATGATGAAAATGATTGAATCGAAGTTTCGCGAGGAGCTTATCAGTCTCGATCAAATGCCTTCGGAGCAAGTGGCGCAATTGGAAGTTAGCTGCTACAGGGAAGAGGCGAAAATGATGAAAGCGGCGCAACAAGCCGCGAGGCAGTTACTTGAATTTGAAATGCTATTCTTGAAGTTGCAGAAGGTGTTTTCGCCGCCGCATAAGAGGACCACGAGAGGTATAAAATTGTTGCAGAGATTGTTGAGAGAAATAGGTTTACCACATAAGTGGCTTAAAATTATATTCATCAAAAAAATTAAAAGCATTGTATAAAAAGACTAAAAGACTAATTTCCTTAGAGGTTTTGTTATCACAATTACGTAAAATGTTSTTGATTAACACAAAGTTACCAGTATTACAATTCAAATTTAATTCATCTACGGTTAAACAAATTACACAGAGSGACAAAAAAAAGGGCATGTCGTGACAACTTATACTATACAAGGTGATTCTTTTAAGGCCTACATTAAAACATTTTAACTTTTAACGCAGATAGGAATTTGAAATTTTGAATACAACCCAAATCGACCAGTCTAAGTTCAATTAAATTAATTTCAAAATGGCTGAACTTCCGCAACTACGAGAAATGGGGGCCAAATTTGAAATTTTAAATGGTAACCACTTATTTTTATTGCATTTTTAAATTCTCCTCTCCAAACGGAGTAAAATGTACCTAGTTGTTAGTACTTATCTGTCATAGTTTTTGATATATTGCAAATTGCAAAGCTAATATGACTTTTTGAAAATGATAATTAACAAACAGCTATAACTCAGATTTTCAAATAAAATGACTYTATTTTCTCAACGGTAATCGAAAGTACATCGATTTGTAGAAGGAGTTTTATCAACATGTCCTATACTCACTTATCTCTTACAGTTTCTGAAATAATCACGAAAAAAGTGTTTTTGTTTTTTATTTTTATAGTTAATCACGCAGGTTTTGGAAAAATACAATAAAGATATGCCATAATTAATACAGATGTTCGACATGTTTCAAGATTATAATCTTCAACCAAATGAAATAATGGAAACCACTCAATCAGTTCACCATCAAGTTTTGGACTGTTGATTGTTGAACTGTTGACCATACTTTTAGAATGGTCTTTATTTGAAAGAAATCGGCCTAATAGTTATTGAGTAATGATTTTTTGAAGTTAAAGTATTTCAAATTCATTTAAATTAGAAAAAAATTATTTGCTTCAAAGTTTGTGGACTTTAAAAAAATTGTGCATTAATTTGATTTGTCTCACTGAGCCGAACAATAGTATATTAGTGTTTTAAAGGCGCTTATAAACGAGTGTTATACGCTATTTTTTATTATACCTGCCCAATTACGATCTTTTATGAACATTGAAAAAATGTGAATTTACACAATAAAATTATCAAAGGCTGTTTGTGAATCGTTTTCGGAGAGACGGTTACTAGTTTACGTTGTTAAGCACATTTTTTGTAATTGGTCCAGACTCTCTAGTCTCTAGTGAAATGTCTAATATAGGAAAGAGTTCCTATATTAGACATTTCACTATTTCTTGTTATCTAGACAACTTTAAAATTCAGCGTGCTATAAAGGCCAAATTACGCACGCTGCAGCGTGTTTTAATTTAGGATTATGATGCAGGTATAATAAAAAATAATATACAGGGTGTTCCGTTTTTATTGTTACAAATTTAAACAGGTGATAGAATATTCAATTTCAAGACAAAAGTTTCCTATGAACATGTATCAAAAAATGTTAGGTAAGCGACCTACACCTCCTGAAAAAGATGCATTTTTTAATGGGGTTTTCCACTATTGCAGATTAGATAAAATTACAAAAGTTGATACAGCTGATAACGCCTGAACCAATTCAAAGATCAGTTGTCGAAATTTTTAATCACGAATGTCTTAAACGGTGAAACAAATTTAATTTATAATTTTTATCCTCTTTATGGTCTGTAAGACAAACTGTAAACTGATTTTACTTAAAAGCGGTAAATTGTATCGAAAAAACGCAAGAGACCTCTTTTTTGTAAAAAACTATGAAATTTAGAATTTTGTGGCTGAAAGTGGCACGAACCAACATCCAAAATAGTTAGGGTACTTTTACCCTAAACGCCCCCACTTTAGGACGCCCCTGAGTAAAAATTTCGACATTTTATCTTTGAATTCCTTTGGGTGTATATCAGGTTATCAGTAGTAGCAAATTTTGAAATTTTATCTACAATGGTTGCTGAAATATTGGAAGAAATCCATTAAAAGGTGCACCCCTTTGAGGGGGTGTAGCTCCCTTATTTAATATTTTTTAATAGATGTTTATAGGAAACTTTAATCTTAAAATTGAATATCCTATCACCTGCTTAAATTTGTAACAATAAAAACGGAACAGCCCTGTATAATATGTCAAGTTGTCACGACATGCCCTTTTTTGTCGCCCTGTGTTATTGGATCGTAATAGCATCATTTTTTCATAGACAATAATAAATAATGAATAAATTGTTTCATAATTTAATCATAAAAATATACGGTTTTACTTAAAAGTTTAGATTTTTAGTCACTGTTAGTGTTCGTGTCTCCAGCGTGAGGCACCGACTTTTAAAGTATTTTTCTTTCCAAAGAGCTGAAATGGAGGTCTCCACCTGTGAATCCACCAAAGCCAGTGCCGCCCCCTCCGAGATTACTTACAGAGGAGGAGAAAGAGTTTCTTGAATTCTTCACCGAATATTGCAGATATACCGATGATCTGGCGGATTATGGGATTGATATCTCACGCCCTCAAGAACCAGAGGCTGAAAAGACTTCGGCGCAGAAAGAACGTTCAAGGCTGTTATTGCAGGAATAAAAATCTATAAATCTGCATTATCTGTGTTTTATTTTTCATCTGGTCCATGACGTTTTATTGAAAATTATATTGACGTGGATTTAGAAAGTGGCAGTCTCACGCCTTCAATTAATAAAATATAGGGGACTTTTATCTGTAACATTACGTGACTATCGAGTTGTACCTGACGACCCTGGTCTGTATTGTTTCCTTGTTCCGGTGAAACATCGCCCGGATGTCCGCTGTTTGAACAACAATAATTTCTATTATGCATCGTTACCTGTTGAGCTCATTTTTTATATTACGACCCTTTCAACTTGTCCTAATTTTTCTCTTTTTGACAGGCCCCCAAGGACCTTAAATGTCCCAAATTAAAATTGCAAAACAACTAACTAACTATTAAACATAGATCTACGAAATAATAAATTTAATAAAAAACTCTGTTATCGGTTAAAGTTTTTAAAACGGAAACTAAAATTTTGAAGGTTTGCTATTTTTTTCCAATTATGAACATATAACTTTTTTCTTTCAAATGATCAAATACGATTTCATAATATGTACTACTGGGGACAAAATATTTTGGTCATCATTTTTCAGTTCATATTCAACAATGATGACAATTTCAATTTATTAACTTTTCTTTTGTCGAAAATATGCAATGATGAATCCGACAGTCTCATTGGTTGACAGTAAAAAATAAGGTTAACTATCCTAATGCTTGCTTTACAACTTTATGTCATTTAAATGACTTTAACGACCAAAGTAATTTGTCCAAAACTGTACATAAAAATGATAATTTTTGAACAAGGTGCAATCCAAAAATTTAAACATTGCTATAGGAAAAGCCGATAAAAACTCTTAAAAACATAAGTAATTCAAAAACTTCCGGTATAAGCAAAAATTTTTTAACTAATCTTTTAAATATTTTCAATGATCGATTAATCGATTTTGACAATTTTTTTTAATTGTCATAATAAAGTTAGCGATTTAGGTGGAACAGTCTAATGCATAATTAAACAAAAAAGTATTTGTAAAACATGTAGTGTAGGTAAATAGAACAATTCCATTATATTAATTACAAGTTATAAAATAATTTGGTTTTCACTATAGTTATGAAAGTTCACTAAAGGTCACCTAACAAGTGAGATAATAAAAAATGAACATTTTTCCGAATGTATTAAATAATTATTCTTATTTAAAATATATCGAATTTACCCAATTAAATAATAAAATATGTAAGAAAAGACAATGTTCAGTTTTTCAAAAAATATAATTTTGACTTAACATAATTTTCAAAGATACATTGAATATTGAGGTATTGCATTGAATATTGTCGCTTGCAATACATATTATAGTATTTTGGTCGTCAATGTAATTTTTTCACGAACTTATTTTTGTATAATTTGAAATTCGTGCCATATTTTTTTTTTCAATATTTAACTTTCACAATCACAATCACAAAGCAAAATTGCAAAAATTTTGACGTAAAAGAATAATTGTCATTGACGACCAAAATATATTGCACGCAACTGTATTTATCAAAATCAAAATTATTTTATCAATTGCTTTTACAGAAAATTGTACTCCTATTTCTTATTGTGTAAAAATAAAATACTGCACAGGAAAATGCAAAATAAAGTTTTTAATAATGCAAGTGCTGTCTAGAGAAGACGAATTTTTTAATCGATTACGCTAAATATTAGTTATGGAAATTTAAAAAAAAAGTCTGGAGGCGCCGGGCATCGATCCCGGTACCTCTCGCATGCTAAGCGAGCGCTCTACCATCTGAGCTACGCCCCCTGTGGAGTATCAATTCAGTTATAAGCGTTTTAAAGGTAATTWTATATTTAAATGTAAATKTAAAGTAATTAACAATAATTTTTTTCAGATAGGATCTGACAGTAATACATCTTATTTTTAAATAGAATATACTTTCAACATTAAAATAACATCTTTTGAYAGTTCAAATTGCATCTTTTTATTGTTCTTATTCTACCGGGTGTGGCACGAGTTCTAATTAATTAAAACTGGCGATATTTCATATACCTAACTAATTATTAATAGCGTATATTTTGAGGATTTTTCTAAGTTTTTTTGATAATAAATGGGGCCGTAACAGTTTTGTATGTTTTACCTAAATTTACGATGACACAAGTAGCAGGTTATAAATAAAAATGATTTTCAAAGTTAAGATGGAAAATTGCGTTTAATTCAAAATCTAATTAGTGTTTTTTTTCTGATTTCGTTTAATTGTAGAAAGTGAATCTGCGTAGGTCAGTGTAAAAATTAAAATTAAACTTTTTGGAAAAAAAATACTTTTYATTTTTTTTTTGGCTTTGTTTGTAAATGAAAAATTACCAAAAAATTAAGGAATGTATGTACCTTACCAATGCCCAGGTACGAGTAAGTGTGAAAAAATTCTACAATTTTATTTAATTAGAAGTGGGCATATAGTGTACTACTTATTTTTTTATTATTTTTTACTGACAAATAAGTGTTAAATTACTAATAATTATTAGATATCAGAGTTTTTCTTTATCTTGTCGGTTGTTTATTTGTTTGCATAAAAAATCGCTTTTGAATTGTTGTTCATTGTCTTCTTAGAGACTTAAAAAATAAAGGTTATATAAAAAATATTCCCATAACCCATAAAATTTTATGAAAAATTGTCTGTAAAACTCTTTTTTTTTAATTTGATCATAATTTTATTTCTTCATATATTCGTACAATGTGATTAATTTATAAATTCAAAATTCGAAAAAATTATTATACCTAAACCAAAAAACAAATCTAGCATTATTAAATTAGCTGCGTTATTGATTTGGTGCTGCTTTATTAGCTTATTAGTGAGAACAAAACATTCCGAATTAAATTTTAGATTAATTCCACAATTCCTATCTTTCCACATTTCAAACATAATTAGCGAAACAAAATTGTATCGTSTGGTTTTCGTAACAACGATTCTAATTAATTTCAGACGAATAACACCCAAAATARGTTTCCATTGYCAAACAGTGATAACAACGCAACAACACGATATGAGACCACATGTTATATGATAGAAACCCAAAGTTATCGTATTAAGGGACTAGGAACCACACATGTGCTATTTTGCTCGCCTCCAATTGAGAAGATTTAAAGCAGGATGCAGCACATAAGCAGCTGGATGTTGCCCTTTGACACTGATGGTCTCTGTGATGTATTTTTTAAAAGAAGCTCTAAATAGGAAATAAACATCAGATGGTTCGTTTCATCAAAGATATTTCTAATTAGAAACGTAGTTAACTTTAACAGTCAACGAGTAATTTGTTACGACAGTTACGGAAACACACATCTTGCGCTTGCACCCGGTCTTTTTCCATTAATTAGTTGTTAATGAGAAAAATTTACAATTTCGACGAAAAGTGTCAACGTATTTAAGATACCACGCGACATTTGACATCTGGCGTGAAGGAAAAATCTGAAACGACTGAAACGAGGCATTGCATACATAAACATAGAGATGCAAATACAATTAAACAGTTTCACGCTTCGCACTAAACATAAATATTGATCATCTACGATGAATTCAATGTGATAATGAGGTCATGACGGGATAAAAATCATTTCACACTTCCTCCCTCCGACGCAATAAATTAATTTAACATGACGATAATAAAGTACCCATCGTTATCGCAACAAACGCTGCAATAAAAGCCTCCTGGAAGGACCAGTCTGGTGCAGGAACGGGATAATGTCCGCCGTTACCGGGATCGATTCAGTCTGGAARCGCTAGGCAACAGCAACCCTCGACACCAAGTTAGAGTGCACCTGTGGAAGCTAACGTTAGTTTAGGGGATAATCTTTATGGAAGACTGTCGCAGGTAATTAAAATTTTAAAACCTTGCTTGACTTCACCCAGGAAATTCAAAATTTAATGGAGTTAGAGTTTATCGATGGTTGTGTTTAYTGTTTACCAACCAATTCGASAAATGACAAAATTAAGCTGGATGAAGTTGTGTACATGAAAATTCGTCATTAGCATCAGAATTACCCTCGTGGAACGTAGGTTGGAAGAAGAAGCAGATAAAAGCAAGAAAAGGAAATATCCTCGACCCTAAGTAAATTTATGCAAGAAAATTAAAACATTGCGACTATTTATTTAAGATTCTTATAGGGTAGGTTTTTCTCAGAAACATGGCCCCATTTCCTCTTAAAACTTCAAGTGAAATACCGTATGAATGGTTTAAAAAAAAATCTTGTTTGCTATTTTGCTATTTTGTGTAGCTGGTGGTTGTTTTCAAAGGCAAAATTTTATAATTTTGTGACAAATATTAAATATCAGTACACATTATACAGGGGGTCCCAGCAAGTTGAAAAAGTTCATTAGTGACCTTTAAAAAAATTTAAAAAAAATTATAGGACATTGATAGATACTTATCTAGTGCATCACCCAAAATTATTTTCAACTATACAGCGTGTCTCAAAAATAAGTTACAATACAAACGTGTGTATTTTTAAATGAAACACCATATGTTTCTTAGCGTTTTTGGATGTAGATTTTTATGACAATGTTTAATTTAAATTTTAATTTGAATTTAATTTAATTTAAATTTTAATTTTTATGACCAATAAACATTTATTGGTCGATTTTGCTTAGTTCTAAAAATAAGACGGGTTGTCTGACGTAAACATGCACTTTTTAAAAATTTATTACCAAAAAACTAAGACATCTAGAAATATTTTTTTTACTACCGCAAAGAAGAAGGTACGCAAGCTATAAGTTTTTTTTAGTGTGTTGCATTTGCAGATAAAAAAATGAAGGCATTTGTTAAAAGTTCAAAAACTTTAAAAATTTAATTGGAACACACTATTTATTGATTTTGCATTTAAAAGATTATTATAAAATTATTTACTTTTAGGTGTTTATAATCAACAACTAAAACGATATTTAACGTTAAAAATTAAAAAAAATAATTACTATTGTTTCCGTAGCCAAAAAGTGTACAGTTGCACAAGAGATGGAAAAAATATCACTTAATAATCACA